CCTATCCTTCTCAAACTATTCCAAAAAATAGAGGAATATGGAACACTTCCTAACATATTCTACGAGGCCAACATCACCCTGATACCAAAGCCAGACAAGGACAATACAAAGAAGGAAAATTACAGGCCAATATCGCTGATGAACATAGATGCAAAAATCCTCAACAAAATATTGGCAAGCCAAATACAGCAATATATTAAAAAGATCATACACCATGATCAAGTGGGATTTATACCAGGGACACAGGGATGGTTCAGCATCTGCAAATCAATCAGTTAAAGTTAAACACCACTTTAACAAAATGAGGAATAAAAACCACATGATCATCTCAATAGATGCAGAGGAAGCATTTGACTCTCAACTCTCAACAAATCGGTGTAGAAGGAAAGTATCTCAACATAATAAAGACCATATATGACAAACTCACAGCCAACGTCATACTCAATGGGGAAAAACTGAAAGCCATCCCTCTGAGAACAGGGACAAGACAAGAGTGCCCACTCTCACCACTCTTATTCAACATAGTATTAGAGATTTTGGCCAGAGCAATTAGGCAAGAAAAAGGAATAAAAGGAATCCAAATAGGCAATGAAGAAGTGAAACTCTCGCTGTTTGCAGAGGACATGACTTTATACATAGAAAACCCTAAAGAATCCATCAGAAAACTATTAGAAATAATCAACAACTACAGCAAAGTTGCCAGGTACAAAATCAACTTACAAAAAGCAGTTGCATTTCTATACTCTAATAATGAACTAATAGAAAGGAGAAGTCAAGACGACAATCCCATTTACAATTGCAACAAAAAGGATAAAATATCTGGGAATAAATTTAACCAAGGAGTAAAAGACGTATACAATGAAAACTATAAGACATTATTGAAAGAAATCGATGATGACATAAAGAAATGGGAAGATATCCCATGCACGTGGATTGGAAGAATAAACATAGTTAAAATGTCTATATTACCTAAAGCAATCTACAGATTCAATGCAATCCCAATCAGAATCCCAATGACATTCTTCACGGAAATAGAACAAAGAATCCTAAAATTCATATGGGGCAACAAAAGACCCCAAATAGCTAAAGCAATCCTGAGGAAAAAGAACAAAGCTGGAGGCATCACAGTCCCTGACTTCAAAATATACTACAAAGCTCTGTTAATCAAAACAGCATGGTACTGGTACAAAAACAGACACACACATCAGTGGAACAGAATTGAAAGCCCAGAAATAAAACCACACATCTACGGACAGCTAATCTTCGACAAAGGAGCTAAGAAGATACCATGGAGAAAGGAAAGTCTCTTCAATAAATGGTGCTGGGAAAATTGGACAGCCACACGCAAAAGAATGAAAGTAGACTATTATCTTTCACGATACACAAAAATTAACTCAAAATGGATCAAAGACTTGAAGGTAAGACCTGAAACTATAAAATTCCTAGAAGAAAATATAGGCGGTACATTCTTTGAGATTGGTCTTAGAGGGATCTTTTCGAATTCCGTGTCTACTTGGACAAGGGAAACAAAAGAAAACATAAACAAATGGGACTTCATCAGACTAAAGAGCTTCTGCAAGGCAAGGGAAACCAGGATCAAAATGAAAAGACAACCCACTGCTGGGAGAAAATATTTGCAAATCATATATCTGACAAGGGGTTAATCTCCGTAATATATGAAGAACTCACACAACTGAACAACAAAAAAAACAACCCAATCAAAAAATGGGCAGTGGATATGAAGAGACATTTTTCTGAGGAAGATATACAGATGGCCAATAGGCACATGAAAAGATGTTCAACATCACTAATCATCAGGGAAATGCAAATCAAAAGTACACTAAGATATCACCTTACACCTGTTAGAATGGCTATAATCACAAAGACAAAAAATGACAAACGATGGAGAGGTTGTGGAGAAAAGGGAACCCTCATTCACTGCTGGTAGGAATGCAAACCCCACCCCACCAAATGGTGCAGCCTCTATGGAAGACAGTATGGAGATGCCTCAAAAAATTAAAAATAGAAATACCTTATGATCCAGCTGTCCCGCTACTGGGTATTTTTCCAAAGAACTTGAAATCAACAATCCAGAATGGCTTATGCACCCCTGTGTTCATTGCAGCATTATTCACTATAGCCAGGAAGGGGAAGCAACCCAAGTGTCCCTCGACTGATGATTGGATAAAGAAGATGTGGTATATATATATACAATGGAATACTACTCAGCCATAAAAAAGACAAAATCGTCCCATTTGCAATGACATGTATGGACCTGGAGGGTATTATGTTAAACGAAATAAACCAGACAGAGAAAGACAAACACCGTATGATTTCACTCATACATGGAAGATAGTAAACTAACACACCGACAGAGAGAATATTTTGGTGGTTACAAGGGGAAGGAGGTTGGGGGCGGGCACAAGGCATGAAGGGGCGTATTTATATGCAGACTGACAAACAATAAAGTACAACTGAAATTTCACAATGTTATAAACTATTATGACATCAATAAAAAAAAAGACTTACAACAATTTTATGAGAGCAGGTGCATTTTTAAAATCTTAGGAGTGGTTTCAAAATTGAGGAAGAGGATTCCCAGGACAAACCACCCAGGCTTCCATCCCCAACGCTGGGTATTGTGACCTGGCAGAATGTGCTGGCTTTTACTATGGCCCGGGCACCCTTCCTGCTTGTCTCCGGTGTGGACTCTCATCCTAATGGTGCTCCCAAATTCATCTGGTTGGATTTAAGAAACAGACTATGTGACTCAAGAACATCCCAATGGGAAACAGGATAGAGACTGGAGGGAAGCTTTATTATTTGCCTCATTAGTAGAAGTTATAATTTCCTCTTAGGTTACTTAACTGAGCCATGACACATCAATGATGGAGAACTCACTGTCTTCTGAAATAGCCCTTCTATCTTTGGATTGTTCTCATTAAAAAATGGTTTCATTATTTTGAGCTAAAATCTGTCTTTCTGTAGCTTTTACGTATTGGTCATAGTGTGACCTTTTGAAGCCATACAAAATTTATTTCTTGTGTCTTATGATAACATTTTCAATTCTGAAAACCTCCCTCATCCCACACTGAGTTTTTTCTGTAATATAAGCATTCCCTCTTCCCTTAGCCATTCTCTTAGGTCCTCAGCCTTCGCAGGTCCAAGATGTGAGGATTTTGGACTAAGGCTGAATGCTTTTTGCCCCCTTGAACACTGGGGCCACAACACAGGGGTCAACCAGGGACAGGGAAAGGGTACTGTCGCTGTTGTCATCCTTAGAGTGTAAGACATCTGGGTACCTTCTGGGGAACCCGCAAAATCAATACACGTGTCCTTATTTCCTTGTATCACACAAACTCAGAAGATCCACCCAGTGCAATATTTTTGTCCAGGAAAAACTAAAGGCATTCTAAATTGGCACTGTTCTGGCAACAGAACTGTGAAGTATCCCCCTATCAAAAATAAGAGTTATAATTATTTTTTATAAGACTTCTTTCAGCCCAAATGAAATAAGTAATATGAACCATCATTATTACCCAATCAACCAGAGTTCTCTTTGTTCTGTAATAAAACCTATTTTATCCAGTAATCTAAATCTTCCATATTTCAGATTGATGTGGTGTTATTGCACCCACCGAGATACAGGGATTGTGTGTTCCATCATTTCTAGGCAGGTGGCAATAGCCCAAACTCTGTACAGTCTTGTTTGTATAATTGGCTATGCCCTGTAATTGGACTGATAAGACCTCCTTAAGACCTCTGCCTGCTGGAAAACAGTGTCACAAATGAACAAACAGAACAGGTTTAGATCAGTTGATAATCAAAATCCTATCAAATGTACAGAGTTTCCTTGACCTACTGATGTTACAGAGCAGCAGAAATGTTTGAACACCTCCCTGTCCTCAGTGATTGTAGAACTAGTGTAAAGGAAGGAGTATAGGCTTTGAAGGAAAATAGCAATAAATTAAAAAATAACAATAAACAAAAAATAGGGGCCGGCCCGGTGGCATACCGGTTAAGTTCACACGTTCCGCCCGGGCCGCCGGTTCGGATCCTGGGTGTGAACCTGCCCACCGCTCATCAAACCATGCTGAGGCGGCATCCCACATAGAGCAACTAGAAGGACCTACAACTAGGATATACAACTATGCACTGGGGCTTTGGGGAGAAAAAAGAAAAAGGAAAATTGGCGACAGATGTTGGCTCAGGCCCAATCCTCCTCACAAAAAAAGAAATCCCATTAAAAAAATTAAAAAATAAAAAATAAGGCTCATAATGCAAACACATAGTAGTTCCTTGGTGTTGGATTCTCAGCACTTGGTGTGTTTTAAGTCACTTAATCCTTATACAGCCCTTTGAGGTAGGTACTATTATTCCTGTTTTACAGAAGAATAAACTGAGGCACTGAGAGATTGAGGAACTTGTCATTTGCTTGTAGGTGGCAGAGTGAAGGACAAACCCAGATTCTGTGAACTTTCAACCCAGCCCAAACCACCTCTAACCAGACCTGAGCACAAACCCAGTCTCAGCTACTCATGTGTCTGAAACCAGCAAGTCACTGAGCCTCTCCGAGCTTTAGTTTTCCCATCTGTAAAATGGGATTCCTTGGCAAAGTTGAGCTGGGGTTAGAGAAAATAGATATTAAGTATCCAGCACAGTACTTGATACATATAGATAGACAATAAATAAAGCTGTTATTTTCTTATTGTTCAGTTTGTTTAATTACTGAAGGATTTGCCCCCTCTCTGCTACAGTGTTGTCTTGTGGAAGTAGAGAAAACGTCACCAATTTTTTGCCAAGTTTTGATGTGTTAAAGCATTTATGCTCTTTTAATCCATGGTATATTTTTTAGGGGTTTTGCAGATACCTGGAAAAACAATTCAGTGACCTGAAGCAAAGAGGTGTCGTGATCAGCTTTGATGCCCGAGCTCATCCAGCAAGTGGAGGCAGCAGCAGAAGGTATTTAAACATTTTTAGGAAACTATTTTTTTGTAGTGTATTCTGTGGTTTTATTTTTAATCATTGATGGGTAAATTCTGTTTGTAACTTTGAAGAATTCTGGCTTTACGTTTGGGTTAAGAAAATGAAATTATTTAGACAGTCTGGAATTTAATATCTATCCAAGTGAAAGAAATTTTTTAAAGTGGCAATATTATTTCTCTCTCTCACTTTCTTCTGTTTATGTAATTTTTTTCTGCCACCATTCGTAAGTCTCATGAGCTCCTTCCTGTTCTTGAATGCCCATTTCAAGCTGCATTCTTGTAACATTCCCAAACCAGTGGGACTCACATGTAGCAGTAGGTAGATGATGATGATGATGATGATGGTGGTGATGGTAATGATGATGAGGCAGATGATGATGATGATGATGGTGATGGTGATGATGATGATGATAAGAAGGAGGAGGAAGCAGATGATGATAGTAATAGCAGCAGTCATTTGAGTGCTGAATATGACCTAGGCACTTAGGTATTTACTCGTTTACTTCTTACAACAATCTGTAAGGGATGTTCTTTTATCTTTCTGCTCTAAGATTATAAAGTGAGAGAAGGAGCTACAATGTCAGCGTAAAGAGGCTGGCACCAGGGGTCAGCAAACTTCTCTAAGGGCAACATCGTACACATTGTGGGCAGTACAGTCTCTGTCACAGCTATTCAACTCTGCCATGTAGCACAAAAACACCCATAGACAATACATAACTGAATGGACATGGCAGTGTTCCAATAAAACTTTATTTACAAAATGGGCTGTAGTTTGCCAACCCCTGCTCTTAATCATGTTATGTGACGCTCTTTTTTACTTGAACATTTCCTCTATTGTGATGAATTTCTTTGTCACTCCAGAGTATAAGTATTAGTAGTTTCTTAGATTGGAGGAACATACAAGTGTTTAATATTAATGAAAAGTCTCATTAACTTTACAGAGCTGGATAAGTTCATAGAGTCCTATCCTTTGCCTGTCAAGAGCTTCTAATCTAAGAGAGAAGCACTGATGGGAACAAATGTTTGGCTATAAGGAAAGGAGCATGGCCAGGGCAAAAGACAAAATGACAGCTGCCCCTGGATTGAACTCAGGACGATATAAGACGTTTGGTCTTCAGCTGCAGGCTCAAAAATATGATTTTTGTCAATAAAGCAAGAGAGAAGCTTTAGCTCCCAGGGATAGATGCACATGGACTGTATGAGAATGATGTAGTATAAACCAGAACCTCAGTTTGTCAATTTTCTGTTAGTGAATTTATGGTTAGAATTAGATCATACGCATGCTTTACTGGCCCCAGAGGCAGGTCGGATCCTCCAGCCAGAGCATGCACAGTGTATAATATGGCTAACTCCGTCTGTTTAGCTTCTCAAATTTCTTCATTTTAGGCTGACTACCCTGCATTGACACATCCTTCAGCTATGTTAACATTGTCAATTAAGGTACAGGTATTTCTTGTTCTGGCCTTGGAGCCCTATCATTTCCTTAAAGAGGCTGATGTTACTGATTCTATATGAGTTTATGGTTCACATCTCAGAGTTTGATGGACTGGGATAGAGTGGAGCTCAGGGTTGCTCTCTGTCACCTACAGCATGCAAGACATTTAGAGATCGTAACATAAATATTAAACCAATACATGGTAAAACATTCATGATGAGTAGATGGAATCTTCTTAACGAGATAGAAACTTGCAGTCTCAGAATTTTACCTAAGGAAATGTTGATTAGTTCTTTAATATTCCAATTTTAAATATCTGGTAGGAACAAAGTGATAACTGTTAAGCATACGCAGAGAACACATTGAATCTTTTTTGTGCACATTTGTATCTTAGTTCCTATTTATCATGTATATATCATATATATGTTGAGTGTGTCCTTTGCCAACTTTATGAAAGGGCCTTTAAAGTCAGCCTGAAATGATAAACATTTCATGAGGGCAAAAGTGACTTCCATGCCTTCTAATAAATGCAATTTGCTTTTAATTCAGATTCTTATTAAAATTGTTTTTGCTGGATTTTGTTATTTTTATGACTTTCCCCTATGTAGAAGCTTTTTTGTGTGTGTGTGAGAGTAAGATCAGCCCTGAGCTAACATCCATGCCAATCCTCCTCTTTTTGCTGAGGAAGACTGGCCCTGGGCTAACATCTGTGCCTATCTTCCTCCACTTT